GCAAGTTGGTCTTTTATGTGTTCGGAAAGAGAATCAGTAAAAACTCCTTTTAAAGCTAGTTCGTCCCAGCCCGACTCTTCCGCTAAAATGCGGAAGTCGATAGATTGATCAGTCACAGACTTTCTTCCTTGTTTTAAAGCGAGAAGACGTCTCGCTGCCTCCTCCTGCTGGAGAGGGTGATCAAACACACGTTTTAATTCTTGAATAAAAAATTGAGATGTGAGAGTGTCCATAGAGTGAGAAGCCAGAAATGAATTGGCCCATCGTAGAGCTTTACCTTTTAATGCAGAGACTATGTATGATATCTTAGATGCAGAATTAGGAAACAAGGAAGGAKAACGGGCGATCGCCAGTTGGCATTGCAGAAGGAATCCTCCACAGTGGTCAGGATCTCCCTCAAAACATTGTGAGGGACGCAGGTCTGGTTCACGGGAGGCAGTAGCGGGAATTGACCGCAAGGTGGCGGCATCTGATGAGGGAGCAGGGTTAGGAGGAAAACTTGACAGTTTATGATCCAGAGAAACAATTCGMTGACTGATATGATTTAAAGCATCATTAGTATTCTGTTGAAGTTGATACAAATGTTCCATAAGTTGATCATGATCTTTAAATTTCTGTTCTATATCCATGGCTCTGGACTGTTGTTCTGCACCAAAACCGCTCTTTGACATGTCTGGCCGGAGCAAACTATCAGGTTTTCAAGGTAAGTCAAAGAATTTGCGGATTTGGTACAAAACACACAACAGAGAAGCAATGTCAAAAAATAATTTCTTTTATTTACAGGTGCTGGGATGTCGAGGGATCGGGAGTGCTGAAAAGGAAGGAGTCCAGGTGAGTTCTTGCAGGTAAGTATTTTTTTTTTTGAATTGCAGTCAGGAGGTAAGTAGAGGTTTTTCTTACAGTGATGAATGAGGAAGGCGGCTCGGAGGAGATGACAAGGATCCACAAGGTAAGTAGATTTCTTTGTMGGATGAACAGATGATTAACCGCAGTGATGTACTGAGGCAGGTGAGTTCCCTTATTCGTTGGAGGCAGACAGGCAGGTGAGCGGGGCACAGATGGAACTCCGACGGCTTCACAGGATCTCGGGTGTAAGTCACTAAACATGGAAAGYACAGATTAATATCTCTAGGAAGATTTACAAAGGTTAGAAGCCAGGACAAATACCGTAAGGTACGTGTTGCTCCGGCGAAGACCAGTTCAGCAGTGCCGTCTAATAAACCCCTCACGCTCATCAGGGAAACCTGCTGCAGCTGCGCTTGATAGAGCGGCAGCCAATCAAGGTGAACAGGTGAAACAGGTGAGGAAACTCAATTTGCCACAGTCATAACTTAACAATAAGTTCATTTTTAATGGTTATTAGCCTAGGGAGATAGGATAACTCCCTTTAACAGTTCCCTTGAGACCTGCTGTCCAGGTCACTAAACATCATCTCGGTCATTGTAAGAAATGCAGATCCTAAAAGGGAGCGGCTGCCAGTAACAGTGGTGACCGGCTGCTGGAGGCGTCCTGAGCTACTGCGTTGATCCAGAGGTCGGGGTTCAAGAAGGGAGTGACCACTGGAAGGAAGGCAGCTAGAGACTGAGCTAAAGGCTCCCGCCCCCGTCTTCCGGAGGAGACAGGCCGGACACGGCCACACAAGCCACCCCCAGGTGGCTGTAAGTCTGGTCCATTGCCTCCAAMCCAAGAGGGAGACATTGTCTCCTCTCCAAGACCCATCGGTGTCCTTGTGGGTAAACTGGGGGAGGAGCCACACAGGAAAACAAGAACAAGGGCTGTTCTGCATGGAGGAAAAGGAACACAGCACTCCAAGAAAAACACCTGCTACCTACAGTAACATGTGGGGGTGGTTCCATCATGCTGTGGGGCTGTGTGGCCAGTACAGGGACTGGGAATCTTGTTAAAGTTGAGGGACGCATGGATTCCAACCAGTATCAGCAGATTCTGGAGACCAATGTCCAGGAATCAGTGACAAAGCTGAAGCTGCTGAAGCCGGGGCTGCATTCCAACAAGACAACCACCCTAAACACTGCTCAGAATCTACTGAGGCCTTCATGCAGAGGAACAAGTAGAACGTTCTGGAATGGTCATCTCAGTCCCCAGACCTGAATATTATTGAAAATCTGTCCATTTTTATGGAGTTCTATTTGTGCCATCAGCTTGAGCGCACAGTAACACTGATTTGAGAGCAGATATTAATATGAACAAACAATAATTTGAACTGTGTGCACTCAAATTACACACACGCTCACGCGGCTCCCTCTCTGCTTGCTCAATTTCCCCTCTGCTCGCTCACAGCTCTGTCTCTGCGCTGGCAACCCATGTCGTATGTAAATGAACCACATCAGCAGCCAATCACGGAC